AGATCCTTTTTTTTCTGACAGGTATATGGCTAAGAAGAAGTAAACTCATTGTCCATTAGTTTGTAGACATTTAAACAAAAGTGTCACTAATATTTCCACCAACAAATTGTTGTGGGAAGTTGTAGCAGCAGCAGCTGTGGAGTAGTACATGGAGAACAAATATTCATCAAAGGATCAAACAAAAGTGTCACTAATCTACCTTTCTAGAGAAACTGGAAAAGGTTGAGAACTCTGAATAGCATTTTGGATTATAGAATATCATTCAAGATGTTACTATCCTCAGAAGCTAAGTAATAAGGCACCATATCTCATAGGAAGATAACAGAAGCGAAATAAAGATATTACTATATCAGTAGACCTCCATCCAAAAATAGCCTCTGTTTCTTTGCAAACAACCTAAAATCTATGTTATATTTATTCACAACATAGGAACTTCTTTGATAAGAGTTGGACCATAACGCAACATAAAGAGCAAAAGTATGTTGGAGACTTTCCAAAAACTACTTTAACGTGCAGCATTATGATCATTAAGCTTTTAACACAAACTAACAACCACAAAATTGCTATTTGCTAAAGACAAAAAAAAAGGTGGTAATTTGATTCTGTTGCTTCTATGATGAATTATTTGTTTAAGCTTAAGCTAGAGTTACCGTTCAAATTCAACTACAGCCTCGTTGTTGCTAGTGCTATCATCCGACTAGTGCAATGCTTAGAAGAATTTGACAAGAGATGGTGCCCTTGATTTTTTCTCTTTCGATTATATGGTGACAAAGATGCATAACTGAACTTAACTATACAAAATCTTATGCTTTTTCCTTTTTTTATAAGTTGCTAAAGCTAATCTTTTTTAATTACAAAAGAATGAACAGGAACAACAACACTAATCAACAAATCATAAGTAGCAACAATAATATAAATATATGGACTAAAGAAGACTAAAAACTTGCAAGAATTGACAAGTCTTCAACAAAATCTCTCGATACTGCACAAAAAATAAAAATAAACACAACTCAGATTAAACTGAGACCTTAAAAAATCCAAAAGTAACAATAACAAGTACAATAATATACCATCAGAGTTGAGGATTTTGAGCCTAAAAGAAAGCAAAAAAATAGGAGTCAACACTGAAATAGCAAGCAAAGAGAGGATAGAAATCCTCGTACATCGTCGAAATCTCCTCATCAAAGCATAAATATGAAACAAAAGCCAAAAGGGTATTGGATAATCAGAAAGATTAGCAGGGGAGGGGAGAACTACCGAAGCAACAAAAGCAATGAGCAAAAACTAAGGCACTACAAAAACAAAATCACAGCAACATTCTCGTCCATTTAGATGACAAATAAAATCTGCAATAGATGACTTACGATTTAAACAACCCAGAAATTTAAACAAAAAAAATTTAAAAAGCTGCTAAAAAATAAGCCTTCAACACCCACACGAGTTAAGATATCAAATAAGATTTGCGATGGCCATTTTGCATACTTAATTGCAACAAAGAGCAAGAAATTAGAAATCAAAACTCAAAAGGAGAGAGTAACCTGCTTACCGATTTTCAGATTTGGAGAAATTAGCACGCCGCTTCTGTTGTTGAGCCTGGAGTCCGAAATTAAGCCTTCCAATTAACGATTTCAGATTTGGAGAAAGTGTTGATGGATGCTTGGATCGAGTCCGAACCTGGAGAAGATGAGTCTGATGATCGAAATCGCCTCTCTCCTCGTTATTTTCGATAAAACTAAAATTAGGGATTTAGTATTTTATTAGATATAAAAGCTAAAAATTAAAAACTAAAAATAAGATTGTGGGCCCCTTTAATTTTAGCGGGTATAGAAAATTTTGCTGAAAAATAAGGAGGGAATTAATGACCGTAACAATAGATATAACCGTTACGATAGAGGGGTTTATTGCTACGGTTATAAAAACCGTTGCCATAGATACCTCTATAGGAACGGTTTTAAGACAATTGCTACGGTTCGGTTGCTAAGTGTCCCGGTAGTTCCAACATTTTTTTGTAACGGTTCAAACTGTAACAATACACCATCTATAGCAACGGTTACTGATCCGTAGCGATAAAAAGCGTTGCCATAGCTCCAATTTCTAGTAGTGCCAAATACATGTAATTTATGTGGATTTAGAGGACGATAAAACAAGGCTTGGAAAGGGGTGCTACCTTTAAGGAGGGGTGTGGGTAATCGGTTGATCAGATATAGTGCAGTTTGGACAGCAAGTGACCAAAAGTTGAGTGGTACAGATGTATGATAAAGAATGGTAAGGGTGGTCTCAAGAATGTGTCAATGCTTGCGTTCGGTAGTGCCAACTAGTTGGAGAGTGTATGGAGTGCTCAAATGGTGTTGAATGCCAGATTCTTGAAGAATAGTTTTAAGGCTTATGTATTCACCTCCTCCATCAATGTAAAGTGTATCAATTTTAGTGGAGAAGTAGTTCTCAACAACTTTCTTAAAATTGATAAAGGTTTGAGTGACATCTGATTTGTGCTTAAGAGGAAATAGCCATGTGTATTTGGTGAAATGATCAACAAAAATGATATAAAAACGAAAACTATCAAATGAGGTAATAAGAGCTAGACCCCAAACATCTGAGTAAATTATTTCAAATGCTCGATGACTAATAATAGATGTTGCACCAAATGGAAGTTGGTGACTTTAATTACAAAGGCAAGAATTGCAGAATGTAAAAGAATTACTAAGGGACACTGGAAGCTTAAAAGAAGAGATGAAGCTCTTGGTGATATGTGGCTGCGGATGGCCAAATCTTGCATGCAAGAGATATAAGGTAGGAGACTGGGAAGTGACAAAGTGCGCTTGATGTGTGAGACTGGTGGATCTACTAGGTAGCTTAGTTGTTGGCCATTCATAAAGGTCATTGTTACCCGTCCTTGAAGTAGTGCTGCCCCTGTGTTCAAATCCTTAACAACATAAGAGTAAGGAAAAATTCAATATAAGTTAATTTTGACGACAAAATTGTGCAACATAGATTAGATTGCGTCTTATTTTTGGTGAACATAAGACATGATTAAGAGAAAAGGAATGAGTAGGTGAAGTAGAATGAAGAGTAGTTTGACCAATATGCGAAATTGGGATGCTATTACCATTTCCTATGATGACTCATTATTGCTCGAGAAATCAGTGAGGGAAGTGAGGTTGGACGGATTGTCTGTTATATGATGTGATGCTCCGAAATCCATAACCCAAGGATTTCCATTGTTGTTGTAGGAGCGAGCCACCATGTTTACTTGTGCTTCATATTTGTTGTGCAATTGAGAGCGACAAACCTTGGCTATGTGACCATATCTGTCACAAAATGGACATTGAACACGTTGTTGGTTGGATTGACGGGAACCGAAGGACCTAGACTTGTTGTTAGGTGGTCCAGGGTAGTGACGACTGTTAAAAAAGTGATTGGGTCCTCCTTGCTGCTGGTTGTTATGGCATTGTTGGGTATTGTTGTAATTGTGTCCGAAGGAGTTTTGGTTTGATGGGGCTCGTCGATTTAATGGAGCAGTGATCAAGGGTGTATTGGTTTTTGGTTTCGAATGTTGGAGAAAGACCTCATGGGCTAGGAGCTTGTCATATAATTCTTCATAGGATATTAGATTATCTCGAGCACGGATGGCTGCTGAGATTTCTTTAAATTCCGACCCAAGACTGCTAAGTATTTTTATGACTAGATCTTCATTGGTCAATGGAGATCCACTGGATGCAAGATCATCGGCAACTGATTAGATCTCTTTCATGTACTCAGCCACTATACGAGATTCTTTTCGAAGATTGGAAAGGATGTTGCGAAGTCCAAACTTGGCTGTGATCTGTTTGCAAATGTTGTTCGGAGTATTTCCCATGCATGCTTAGCAGTAGATGCTTGGGCTATCATTGGGGCAATGGAATGTTCAACAGATGCCATGACAGCACTGCGAACTAAGCTGTCTTGGTGTAGCTAGAGCTTGAAGTTGGGTTTGATCAATTGCTTATCATTTTCTGTGTAGTATTCACTAGGACAACTAGAGGAGCCGTCAATAAATCCCACTAGATCGTAGCCAAATAGTAGAGTTCTGACTTGGGCTTGCCATGTCGAATAGTTGGTGCTTCCTGCTAGTTTCAGAGATAGTTGGGAAGCGTGGTTGAAAGATATTAATTGGGATGGTTGAACTATAGAGTTATGAACATAGACAAGTGATGGAGATGGAGTGGAATTGGCGGTTGATGGTGAAGAATTGTTTCCAGTCATTGTGAAACTTAGAGCAGATTATTAACTCGTTTGAGTGTCAATTGCCGTGATACCATAAAAGCACAAGAAATTTTGATGGAATTGTTGTTTATTTGTATAACTGAGATCAACTATTTATAATACAAGAGTACAATGAGTTTGGGAGAATAGAAGTCTACAAAGATAAGATACAATCTGTACAGATAAGTATTTGAGTTCAAAAAAAAGTATCCATCCGAGAAATTGTTAGCCGTGATTATCTTCTATAGATATTACAAACACACTATTTCTTGGCTATGCTCTCATGGCCTCTTGCTTTCCCTTAAAATATTCTGGAATTCCTTTCTTTTCACAATGCATAGACATACTCAACATAGGCCATTCTCAGAACTTTTGCCGTCATGTCTTCCCATACAATCCAGTTGATATGGTGAACCCAAATTGCCACCATAGTGGGTTGTACCTCAAAAGCGGCTCAATAAAATTAGTGACCAAAGCCACTTAATTGAGGCTTAGATTTAATAGAATTTATCATATCATATCATCATATTATATTATATTATACTAAAAGTCGGAAGGCCTTAAGTGTAAGATTGAATTACTAAAATGCCCATTAAAAGTTTAAACGATATTTTTGCCCTTCAAGGAAATGATATTCCAATAACAGTAATGTACAAAATAGTAAATACACTTCATGATGAATAATGCATCTTAAAGTAATGCCAATGAGCCTTTTCTATTACCTACCATTATTAGGTTTTTTAAGTACTCATGAATGACCAACTTTTACTAAGAGTTTTGGTGTTCTCTGCAAAGATGTATCTAAGCTTCAGTTGAAGAAAATTATCGGTCACAAAATTAATTGTTTTTCAATTAAATTCTGATAAAAGATTTGATTATCTATGTAGAGTTTGAAATCAGTTGAAACTCTCTACTTTCTATACAATCTTTGGATACAAATCTACTATGCAATTATCAAATCAGGTAAGTTTTTTTTTCTTTTTTGTAACTTTCTATGAGTATGAAATTTTTGATTATTGTTTATGTAAATTTTGGCTAGGAAACATGGATGAATAGTGTTTTCGACAATCATTTCGATAACAATAACATATTAGGCATTTGGCAGATTATTGTAGTTTTTGTTGTGAGAGGTAATTTTTGTTTGATATCCAATAACTATCAAGGATCATTTTTATCACAATATTTTAGATATTCATGAAATCTACTCTTTGCATACAATAATCTTTCAATAATATCAGATAATGTTTAGGCGTGGTGTCCATATGTTCAATAGAGATAGAGTTTTCCCGTCTCTCAATTTTTTTTGGTTCAATCTCAAAAACTTATGAATTAGTGTCTTCTCATGAAACTATCTGCCCAGGTAAATTATTTTTCTTTTTGTTAGTTGCTTTTTTGGCTTTCATTTTCTGATAGTTCAATTTTTCCCCGTTTAGTCCATCTACTTACCTCACTCCCTTCTAAAATGTTTGCATTTCTTTGTCATAAAACCAAATTCAACTATCAAAAAATGAATTCATTACATTATTCTTGATTGTTATAGCTATATGGATGGCTGGTAGTCTGGTACTTTCAATTGTTTAGAAAACTTGCTAGTTAAAAGTTAGCTTTATACATGCAATTCCTTTCACTATCTAGGATAAAAAAAATTATGTGTCACTACTTATTGTATTTGAGTGAGAATGCGAAAATAGGACTATGTCTTTTAAATATTGATCCCATTATTATTAATATTAATTGATGGATGAAAATGAGAGGAATTATTTTCCAGAGACGAATCTTGAGCCAAAGGAACTGAATAGCACATTCAGTGATTTCCCTTTGATGCACAAGCATGTTTCTAGCTCTATTATGATTTGTGTTCAATATTTGTTATCTTATGTACGTTTTGAATTTTTCCGTCGTAAACAAGTCATCCAATCCTTTTTGGATATGTGTTTTGGGTATTAAATAGTTGCATCTCCTATGTGTAGATTGGCAAGGCTATAAATGAAGCTTGTAAGATCTCGGATACTGACGGTGGATGGTGGTTAAAAGAGAATCAAGAAGTTACTAATAAAAAGACTTAGCATGATGCTACAAATAGAAAGAAATCCAGTCAAATTGAATTAAGCATGAGCTCTTTTTCTGCCTCTACACCTTACAACCTATGTATTCTAAGATGTAAATCTTACAAAACTAAAGAATAGAAGAACAAGAGATGGTGATTTAATTTTTTATATGAAAAAATATAGAAAGTAAGGCCTTCTAATACGTTTGTGCTTCAGGCAGCCTTTTGTTTTTTCTAATATTATCTTTTTTCACCTCAAATAATTTCTTTGACTATTATTTATGATATTTTTCAAAAAAAGTTTGTTCTACATGCGCAACGCGCATACCCAGAAACTAGCATATAGATATACACATATACACGCACAGAATGAATCTTTTTTTTTTCTTACTTTTGTTTATCGTATAATATATACAAGACATAAAGCCTTTAATTTAGTATAATAATATAATTATTTATAGGGATAAGAGTTAATCAAGTATAATATTAGCCATATATTTGTAATATATACCATCGATCTTGTTGTACAAATTTTTATTGGTTAATGTGAAAACTTGAGTAGTTTAATTCAATGTTCTAAGATCATAAAGTCTGCACAAACTAGGACCTCAACATTTTCGATGCCAAAAGTAAAGGCTTTACTTGCCTCTCCTTTGAGCCATCTCTGTACCTGCATCCAGTTCAGTAATCTTTTCCACAATTCCTTTGAGTATTTATATTGAGAAAATGCATAAAGTACCCATTAAACTTGACAGCAAAAATCATTTACACACCTAAACTTTACGGGTGTCCTAACACCCCACTATTCTTATCTAAACTAAATTTAATATCCCATTGAGTGATGACCTGGCATGAAAAGTGTAGCTCATTTCATAGATGCGCGTGAGGTAAAAAAAAGAAGCTTTAAACTAATTTAATTGTCCAGGTGTCACTTTCCTATTGAATACTTTAACTAATTAAACTAATACTAATTTTTTTTCTTTTCTTTTTCGTTTCTTTTTCTCTTTCTTCATTTTAGCAAACCAATGTCATCGTCTTCCTCCCCATTTCTTGAAACTAAGTCACGTTTTATTTTTTGTTTCTCTTTTTTTTCTTATTGAGTCTCTATTTCCACTCGTCTGTTTCCTTCGCCATATTCCATCAATATAATCCTACTGTAAAAAATTAAAAAGAAAGAAGACAAAATATCTCACAACCAAGGGCTTATTTTTTGGACTGATTTTAAGGTGTTTTGGAGCTGTAAATTGATGATTTTGAGGGCTGATTTCAGCAGGTTTAGGGGAGGTTTTGGGGCTGGAATTTGCTGCAATTTTCAGTGATTTTAAAGGGGAAAAAACTGCTGAAATTTGGGGGTGTCTTGGAGCTGATTTTCGCAGCTCTTTTCTGGTTTTCGCAACTGATTTTGCTACGATTTTGGGATGGATTTTGAGGTGTTTTTTGGGATGAATTTCAGGTGCTGATTTTGGGGGTTAGTTGTGGGGGGTTTGAGCTCTGTTTTGGGATGGTTTAGGGCTGTTTTGCCAGCTGATTTTTAGTGGTTAAAAGGAGCGAAAATAGCGGTCATTTGGTGGCGAATTTACATGACTTTGAAGGATGAAGACATGACTACTGTTTTTGGGTTTTCTTTCTGTTTTTGCAGCTTTTCAAGGTGGTTTAGAGCTGGTTCCATGGTGGTGTAGGTAGTGATGAAGATGACATGGAAAAAAAGAGTTAAATAAAAAAGTAATTAAATAAGTGGAAAAAAAATAAAGCAGCTTTCGGCACGTGGCGCGCGTGTACTACATATCCCACCACAAGACTGACTAAGTGTTACCAGTGGGGTATTAAATTCACCCCAAACAAGAATAGGGAGGACATAGGTCGCCCGCAAAGTTAAGGTGTGTAAATGATTTTTTCGAACAAGTTTGATGGGCAATTTATGTATTTTCTCTATTTACATTCACAAAGTAGATGCTCTCTTGTCTTGTCATTGGCTTGGCAGAGATAGAACACACATAGTATTCACAGGGATTCTCCATTTGATCAATCTATCCACAATCAGTAATTTACCTTGACATAGCAACCATAATGTAAAGATAGGTTTAGACATGGCTGTAATTTGAATATCAAGCACATCCATTCTAGCTACTTTAGGAAAATCACCAAGTAGTTGTAAGTATATCTAGGGGTGTCAAATGGGCGGGTTGAGTCAATTTTGGGCGGGTCAAAATAGGTTGAGTCAATAATTGGGCGGGTCAAATGACCCGCCCAAAAGTTACTTGGGCTAAGATGGGTTGGGTCAAGATGGGTTAAAATTCGGGTCATAACCCAACCCGTCCAACTCTTATTAAACTTTAATTAATATGTGTTATTTTCTTATAAATTGTATAATTACTAAATAAGGCTTTTTTGCTTTTGTTATGGTCATATTTAAAATATTAAACAAAAAATAAAATTATTTCTAAGATATTTTGACAAACTTATTCATGGATCAATTTGGGCTAAAAAATTAGCCCAACTTTAAATGGGTTGGGTCGAGATGGGCTAAGTTTAATAAATGGGCGGGTCAATAACCAACCCAACCTTGGGCGGGTTGGGCGGGTCATTTGGGCTTGGGCCAAATTTGACAACCCTAAGTATATCTATCTAATGAAGCTCTTCTTCTCATTCATAGGCTTGTGAAGCTGAGTAACATCATCTCTAGCACCTAGTATCTTCCTCAACATCCAGCTTGACCGTTAAGGTATTGCCATGGTGTCCATCCTCCAACAGCTACCAGTTCTACAACTACAATTTGCATTTTGTGAAGTATAATTAAAAGACAAAATTATAGAATAATGCACTTCATAAGTTGACCTTGCACTATTTAGTCCAGTTACAAGTTTGCAAATGTATAGCCAAATATCAATAAGATCTTTTCTTTTCTCATTCCCTCTAATTATAACAACCTCATTTATTCCTACCTACCCCTATTGTAGCTCTCTCCTCATTTTTCACCCATAAATATTTAATTTAATTAATGAAAAAGAATCATATGCAAACAAAACTGAAAAGAAAAATTAGTTCCCCATTCAGTCAACACTCATTCGTGCCTTCTTCCATAACCAATACTTCTCTGTTTTTTTTTTAAAAAATTTTGTATATCTTCAGGTTTATATATACCTATCACAATTGCAAAACGCAAAAACAGACACGAGAAACCTAAAATCTCATCTCCTTTAATGCTAATCTTGTTAAATTTCGATTATGATTTTGTGAGAAATTTGGAGTGGGTATTGTTTGAACTTATTAGAAATAGTCTAAGTAGGTTGTATACAAAGTTTGAAGTTATTTGCTGGAGATTTGGACTAGTTTTATACAAGAATTGCAAGTAAAAATCGTACAAAAATTTCGTCAGCGATGCTTATACACTTTTATACAATGTTATATACTTTTATACAAAGAGGTACAGTATGTATATAGTTGTATAAAAGTGTATAAAGATGTATAATCACAAAGTGAAAATATTCTTGATACACTATGTATATAGGTGTATAAGAAGAATGAGAAGAAGAAGAAGAAGAAGAAGAAGAAGAAGAAGAAGAAGAAGAAGAAGAAGAAGAAAATGCGAGAAATTCACCAAATACCTGTAAATAATGTATCAACCTTGGATATAATAGTATATAAGTTGTGTTTATACACTATTATATACTATTTATATAATATTATGCATTATTATACAAATGAATCATATCAATGGAGCTTCACGTGTTCTTCTTCTTCTTCCTTGGGCATCTTCTGAAATTTAACTCAAATATAGCCTAAAGCTACTTCAAATCACTTGAAATTTAAGTTTTGAACTCATCTTGACGATTCCAATCAATTGAGACAACACCCATTCCAAACAACTAACAAATCGAAAAACTCAATTTCTGAAATTTAACTCAAATATAGCCTAAATCTACTCCAAATCACTTGAAATTTAAGTTTTGAACACATCTTGATGATTCCAATCAATTGAGACAACACCCATTCCAAACAACTAACAAATCGAAAAACTCAATTTCTAAAATCGAATCTTCGAACCACTTGTAATGGTGACTTTTATTTTTCAAATTCTTAGTTAACCATTGAAATCCGGAAAAGAATTAAAGGAGAATAACAATAGTAGAGAAATCTTGTGGTGCAAAGGCTGACATGAGAAGGAGAAGAAGAACGAAGAAAAAAGGGGAACGAAGAAATAAGGGGTTGGCTAACTGATGAAAATTAATTTTCAGATTATGTACAACCTGGGCTATACTGAGTAAGGGCTTCAAACATGGGCCATTTTCTGATGGGTTGTTGGGCCAAGTGACAAGGGATGTAATTCTCCCTAATTAAAATGAAGAGGACGGCGCTTGAGTTCTTTCTCAACATAATTCAAAAGTAAAAAAGTAAGAATCCTGTTACTATCACTCAAGGGCGGCCGTTCCATAAAGCAAGTAAAGCAACTGCTTTAGGCCCCACATTTGAGGGGGCTCATTTTTGTTACACCTAATAGGCTATGTATAAATTTACAAAAAAGTTCTGTGAGGTGAAAACATTTGATTTCTTTCTTTAACAAATATAGAGAAGAAGGATTTGCAACTGTTAAGATTTTTGCCAAGGAAATTTGCACTTGAAATAAATATCGAACCCAAATTTTATAAGAAACGTGTGATATATAGGAAGTAAAATTTGATGAGAATATTGATAATGAAATCTCAAAATTTTTGGAAGAGTCCTTTAGAGGACGGGTTATTCGATGGAGCAAATTAAAAACTAAGCAATGGAAATTCTAAAGATTCCCCGGAAAAAATAGAGATGTCTCCTACGCTGCCCATATATTACTTTTATACATAGTAGACAAGGCTATTTTTTCACTTCAAAATATATTTGAGCAATTCGAAGCGTATGAAAATACTTTTGGTTTTTTATTTAGCGGTAAAACTAAGATCACTATATGATGAAAAATTTTAAAAATATTGCCTTAATTTTGAATGTTCTTTAAAGCATAATAATCAATTCGATATTGATGGCTTAGATTTATTTTCTAAATTAAAAGTATTAAGGAAAATAGTACAATTAAAAGATAACAGTTTAATTGATACACTCAATCAAATAAAAAGATCTGATTCTTTTCCAAATGCATATATTGCTTATGGAATAATGCTATAACTCATATTACCGTTGCTTCAGTGGAAAGAAGTTTTCAAAATTAAAATCGATCAAATCTAACCTAAGATCAACAATATCTCAAGAAAAATTAAGTGGATTAGTTATATTGTCAATTGAGAAATACTTATTAGCGGTTATTGATTATAAGAAAATTATTAATAACTTTGTATCTAAGAAAAACTAGAAAAATAGACTTCAAATAAATAAATAAATAAAAATAAAAAATAAGTTAAGGCCCATAATAAAGTTTGGCTTTAGGCTACAAAATTCGTCGGGTCGCCCCCGCTATCACTGTCTCGTTTTCAGTTAGGAGGAAATGCTAATAAATTCTACAGATTTATATACGGTGTTGTCTGCTTTTCTATAGTTATAATCATGGAGTTTAACTTCTATGCAATAACAACGTAAAAACTAATTACATTATAAGGTGATCTAAAATAGGGGTGTACATGGACCGGGTTGATTACGTTTTTAGCAAAACCAAACCAAACCAACTATATTGTTTTGAACTGATTCGGTTTTATCGGGTTTTTCGGAGTTTTCGGCTTTGTTTGTTCGAGAATATTATTTCAACCTTACTTTGTTAAAGTTATAGATAAAGTTTTGATAAGTGAATATATATTTAGTAAAAATTAAAAATATTGTCAAAAATATGATCTATTAAAATATTTTTGTGGGAGAATTTTTATAGTAACTCATGATAGTTATTTTCTTAATCGTCTAACGATAATTTTTCATCGATGTACGCTTTCAAAGTTAACCGACTTTAATAATTAAACATAAAAAGCAATATGAAACCTAAATAATGATATGTTCTATTTTATTTTAAAATTATTGAAATACCATTTCAAATTCGAAAATGATATTAGAATTTGATAGATCTTGAAATATGAATATATAAGAACAAAGAGATTGACGCATTTCAACAATACTTGATAAGGAAGTGATGATACAATCCATTACTTAAAGTAAATAAAAATAGATGCACTTCATAGTTCTATTGAATATTGCATCCCATGAGAGTATCCTAAATATTTCTAGACTTTTTTTTAAGAAAATTCTATATAAAGTCTTAAT